CACCCCTAACACTGAGAATAAGGCAAGGATGCTTGTACTCACCATGGCTATTTAAACCTTATTATGTTTATTATGCTTATAAGGTAAGTAAAAGATATAAAATGTATGTAGGTTATAAAGGAAGAAAGAATACCATGTCCAGTCAGATAATGCAACTGTCTACATAAAAAAATCCCAAAGAGTCTTCAAAGGAACTTCTAAATAGATTTAGCAAGGCCACATTCTATAAAGTCAATATGCAAAAATCAATTATATGTCTGTGTTTTAGCAATAATTGAAAAGTCTCAAAAGTAGCACTTATAATAGAATCAAAATACAGTCATGTGCTTTGCTGCACAATTTTTATTTTGGCCAATAAGGGATTGCATATATATCAGTAAATTCCTTCAGGCATTTGGCCTAGTGGTTAAGCCGCTGGTAAGGATGCCTGTATTCCATACCATAGTACCTGGATCTGAGTACTGGCTCTGCTCCAGAACCCAGCTTCTTTCTAATGCACATCCTAGAGGTAGCAGGTTGTTACTACCCACATGAGAGATCTAGATTGAGTTCCTGGCTCCTAGCTTCATGTGGTCCAGGCAGTGTGGGAGTAAATCAGTGGATGGAAGTTCTTTCTTTATTAGTCTGCCTCTCTCTCTCTGCCTCTCAAATAAATATCTTTTAAAAAATAAGTAAATGGGGCTGTGTTGTGTCATAGCAGGTAAAGCCACCGCTTGCAGTTCCAGCATCCCAAATGGGCACTGGTTCAAGTCCCAGATGCTCCACTTCCCATCCAGCTCTCTGCTGATAGTCTGGGAAAGCAGCGGAAGATAGCCAAAGTACTTGAGCCCCTGCTACTCACGTGGGAGACCGGATGAAACTCCTATTTTCCAGCGCCAGCCTGGCCCAGGTCTGGCTGTAGTGGCCATCTGGGGAGTGGACCAGCTGATGAAAGATTTCTGTCTGTCTCTGTCTCTCCCTCTCTCTGTAACTGTGATTTTTCAAATAAGTAAATAAATCTAGACAAGTGCTAGAACAAAGTTTCCTAGAAATACTGCAGGGGCTGGTATTGTGGCATAGCAGGTTAAGCCACTGCCAATGATGCTGGCAATCCATATGGGTGCTGGTTCAAGTCCGATTGAGTTCCTGCCAATGGGCTGGTAAAGCAGTGGAAGATTGGTCCAATTCCTTGAGCCCTTGCAACCATTTGGGAGACCTGGGTGGGTGAAGCTCCTGATTCCTGGCTTCAGCCTGGTTCAGCCAAGGCCATTGCAGCCATTTGGGGAGTGAACCAGCAGATGGCACATCTCTCCTTCTCTCTGTAAGTCTTCCTTCATAAATAAATAAATCTTTATTTTTTAAATAAAGCCAATCTGAGAAGGCTACATAGAATAAGATTCCAACTCTTTGATGTTTTGAAAAGAGCAAACCAACAGAGACAATGAGTAGACCAGTGGTTTTCAGAAGGGGTTAGGAGTCAGAAAGGGATGAATAGATGGAACAGAGAGTTCTAAGGCAGTGGAACTATTTGCTCTCTGGCTTCACCCTCTCCTGCCCCTCTTTCTCTACCTTCCTCTTACCTCCTTCCTTCACTTCCTTTCCTCTCCCTCTCCCTCTCCCTCTCTCCCTCCCTCTTGGTGTTACTAGAAAGTAAATATCAACTTAGAATTCTGAACCCAATCATTTATTAAATCATTAATTGAAAGTGATTAATTACTAAAAATTTCTACAGGATGTTTATCCCTCAGTAAGAAAGCCACTTCTCACTTACTAAATATTGAAGTAAAAACTCTCTCAGAAAACACATTGGTGGATGGGACAGGAGTTTGGCTTAAGGGTTAAGATGCCGGTCATTCCATATTGGAGTGCCTGGCTGTGCAACACTCGGTCCTGCTCCTGACTGCAGCTTCCTGCTAGCATAATCCATGGGAGGCAACATTGGCGGCTCAGATGGTTTGGTTTCTGCCACCCACGTGGGAGACCTAGATTGAGTTCCTGGTTTCTAGCTTCAGCTGACCACCAAGCACTGTGGTAGGGAATTTAGGGAGAGAGCCTGCAACAGGAGTGCTGTCTGTGTGTCTGTCTCTCCCTGTCACCTTCCTTCCCACCTCCCTTCTGTCTCAAACAAAGTTTTCAAAAGTCATAATTCAGTTGTTTTATATATTGTATTTTCAAAATGAAAGAAAGCCTGATGTGTTATAAAATATAATAACTATTTGACAGGACTTTTTAATTCTCTATATATTCTTAATTGTTAAAAATAAATCTAGGCCGGCACCGCTACTCACTAGGCTAATCCTCCGCCTGCGGCGCCAGCACCCTGGGTTCTAGTCCCAGTCAGGGCACCGGATTCTGTCCTGGTTACTCCTCTTCCAGTCCAGCTCTCTGCTGTGGCCCGGGAGTGCAGTGGAGGATGACCCAGGTCCTTGGGCCCTGCACCCGCATGGGACACCAGGAGGAAGCACCTGGCTGCTGGCTTCGGGTCGGAGCAGTGCACTGGCTGCAACGCACCGGCCGCGCCGGCCACTTGGAGGGTGAACCAACAGAAAAAGGAAGACCTCTCTCTCTCTCTCTCTCTCTCTCACTTTCTAACTCTGCCTGTCAAAACTAAATAAATAAATAAAAATAAATGAATCTAATGTCTCTGTACATCTATTACATTTTACATTTATATCTATAAATTGGCTATTAAGTTATTTAATATAATTGTTCATTTCTATAAGCTCTGTATATTATACATCTAATTATATTTTTCTGTTGAAAAACTTTCATTGACCTTTTTTAGATATTGTAATATGTCATGAAAAATGCAATATTTTAAGATAGTTTTATCATTGGTGAGTAAGTTTATAAAGACTAAAATAATAACAGAGTTCTTGCCTTGATATACATTTTATCTTATAAATAAGTGATATGTATGTCAGTAAGACAGTGCTAAAGCTAATGTTGTAAAAATACAATTAGTCTGGGCCGGTGCCGCGGCTCAATAGGCTAATCCTCTGCCTGCAGCGCCAGCACCCTGGGTTCTAGTCCCAGTTGGGGTGCCAGATTCTGTCCCGCTCTCTGTGTGGCCCAGGAGTGCAGTGGAGGATGGCCCATGTCCTTGGGCCCTGCACCCCATGGGAGACCAGGAGAAGCACTTGGCTCCTGGCTTCAGATCAGCGTGGTGTGCCGGCCGCAGCGGCCATTGGGGGGTGAACCAATGGCAAAGGAAGACCTTTCTCTCTCTGCTTCTCTCTCTCTCACTGTCTACTCTGCCTGTCAAAAAAAAAATACAATTAGTCTGAGCATTAGGGCTTTTGTCTAGCAAATCCAGTAAATTCTGGACACCTTGTGTATTTAAAAGGTTGCTCTGAGATAGGAGGATAGAGTATTAAAGCGCAAGCAAGCAGTGTTAGGTAAACTTGATTTTCAAATATGTCTCTCTCCCCTACACAGTGTATATGTCTAAGTAAGCAGAGCCTCTTGATGTGTTCTCAAAACCCGTTAAAGATTCTGATGGGTATTTTACAAGAGAAAATATTGAGCAGAAGCATTTTTAAGTTTAATAAATAAGAAATCTCCACTAAAATAAAGTTGTAGAAACTGTTTTTGTCTCTTAACAATTGTTTGTGCTAGTTGTTGATTTGTATTGCTTTTTAAGCAAAATTCAAAGAAATTAAAATAATTTCTGTTAAAATTGTAACATAAAATCTGATTTACAATAGGGGCCAAATTATAGTCTTCTTAGTAATATTAATTCAACAAATATTTGAAGATTTACAGTGTCCTTCCTGAGTTATTGTTCCATAAATATACATATACTATACATATTATCTTATATATAATTTAATTATGTTTGATTCTATATACACTTATTTTAAAATATGAGACTGTTGTACAGTACAGGCAGACAGCATTTTCATGTTCAGTCAGTAAATTTATTTAGCACCTACAGGTAGTACCTGGCACTGAGCTATATTGCTGAGAATATAATGTTTCAGTGATCTTTGAAAATCCTACAGTGTAATGTGGGCTGGAATTTAGTATTAGCTCACCTGGATTTGATACCTACTTTGAAGTCTTCACCCTCGCTAATATCGGTTTACTACTTGTTTTTATATATGGCAAAATTAAAAGTAGCTGAGCAATTTCATTCTATTTGTGAGGGCAGCTTTATCAACAGAATTGAAACATGTCATCTGTTCATTATATTCTGTGCTTCCAGCCTTCTGGTCACTAGTCCCTGGAGTCCTTATAAACATTTCCAAAGAAAACAGTGATTATTTCAAAGGACAAGATGACAGGATACAATGTCAGTTTTCGATTTAATCTTTAAAAATGCATTTGCAAGTGCATTCATATCTGAGATTAAATGAAATGCTATTACATGTTTTTGTACCCAAATTATTTAGTTGGGTACATACTACTCATACATGTAACTGGAAAACTTTATAGTAGTGAATTTTAGACAATTTGTAATGATTTTTACAGGTTTATTTGTATATTTTAATAATAAAGAATGTTGGTAAGCCTTCAAAATTTCTTACATAGGTGGCACAAAACAAATATTTTTAAGCTCATAAAAGTTAAGTAACGTAATTTTTTACAAAAAGTTTGTTACTCATCTTTTTATCATGAAGGCTATATTTATATTCCAGCTCAAATGAGGGTTGAATGGTTTAGTCTGTGTGTTTTGTTCCATCAAGAGACAGGCTCTGTGACTCTGACATAAACATCAAGCCACTATTCTTGTTTCCATGCATGTAATTTTCTATTCCAATTAATTTTCTGAAATATGAAAAGTGGTTTATTGCTTCTTGAAGGACAATCTTACTCATATGAATTACTATGTCTTCATATATTATAGCTTATATTAGTAATAAAACATTGAAGAAAATATCAAAATGTGTATGGAATTGAAAAAACTCTGTTTTTACTAACTTTAAATATTTTCTTTAATCTTGACTATTAGGATTTACCTAACACAACAGAGTATTTAGTATATGTTTATAAATATGTTAATTCTCCTCTTTTTCCAGGCGATATCCGCCTCACCCCTGAGGACTTTGCGAGAGCTCAGAAGTACTGCAAATATGCCGGCAGTGCTTTGCAATATGAAGATGTAAGCACTGCCGTTCAGAATCTACAGAAAGCCCTCAAGTTACTGACGACCGGCAGAGAATGAAGCCTTTGTACAACAGATCCATGTATTTTGGGCATAAGGAACTAACTCCATTACTCTGTCTTCAGCCTATCAGGAGTACAGTTTTAAGAAAGACTTCAGTTGAATTGAATATGACAATGAAATCTGTGTGTATCAGATTCCTTTTGAAGCATTCAGCAGCAGCCTCAACCAGTTTTTATTGTCCATTTAGTGACTCCAATAATTTATGGGTACATAGGGCTGATGTTGGCAAGACCCTAAAAATACCCTTTGAACCCTTCTTTAGCAGATGAAAACACAGGAAGTATCTATTGGAAATAAGCTTTATTCATTTACATACATGAAGAGAATTTTTTAAAAGCCATACTGTTTGGACAAATGGATCATATTACTTTTCTGTAAAATTCTAAATTTAATAAAAGATTCCAAAATAGTCTAGATTAGAGATTACCCTTTTGTTTTCCTTAAGACTTATAAAGCAAATACAAATGTCCTAAAGTATTAGATTAACCTGAAAAAATTATGTTCAAAACTCAATTTTTATTCATTTAAGTTTAAAGTTGACAGAAGGAAAAGTCATTCAGTAAAGAGGTAGAATTGCTTTCAGACTTAATAATGTTAATAATATTGGTTTCCCAAATGCTTTTCCTTATCCATTGAAGCTTAAGGTGAACTGGTATTTGCTGCATCAGCAGTCGTACTGCATGTCATAGAGAATGAAAAACAGAGATCTGTAGAGATGCCTGAAGACTTGGTGCTTTTAAGTTAAGATTCTTCTCAGCTGCTGTGGAGTAGGGTCCATAGAGTGCACAGCTGTGAATGATTCAGAGGATTTATAAGACTTAAGATACTCCATTGTTAAGTTTATAAATTTTGTGGGAAATTATGGACTTACTGTGTCACCTGAATTTGCTGTGTAAAAAAACAATAAATACAAGGATTATTTTTAGTTCAAAATTATTGTAAAGCCAGATGTCTGTTTTGATTTGCATGGCAAAATTGTCAATATTTTAAGTCATTGTCTTTAGTTACAGAAATATGGATACTTCTAGAGTAAGAAGCATTTTTTGAAACAAGGTAAATATGATAGATTTATCATAAATGTATCTGGTTCCTGTCATTCATGCCACTAACATTGAAATTCTTTAACAAAGGAAGTCAACAATTGGCTGGCCCTCTGTTGTGTAAAGTCTTTTTAAACAAAACCATATCCATTAATTTCTATTTTATATGCAGTTACTTTCCACAACTGCAGAGTTGTACATCTTGCAAGTCTAAAATAATGTCTGGCCCTTGAAGAAAAAGTTTACTGACATTTATTCTAACATGCTGTTTGAAAGAAAATGAATCACTAACTCATAATCACTTCTGCCTGTTTTTCTCTGCATCATTGTGATGTTGTTGTACAGGGTTTGGGAGAAGAAATCTGTACACCAAACGAACTGTTCTAATTATTGCACAAAACATGCCTTCTATGTGAACATTCATAAGGCTCATCATTTGCATCTAGTGCTGTAGTATAGTTTCTTAGAACATTATTTTCACAATAAGGTTGACTAGGATTCTCTTTAGTGTCACAAGAGGTAAGTACAGTTCAGCACACATTTTAATTCAAACTTTAACAAGTCTGGACACTGAAAAGTAAAGCTACCACCTCCTTCATACCTTTCCTGTTGGCTTCTAATTGAGAGAGCCTGTTGATGGAAGGAGACATGCAGAAGCCATGGAATCCGTGATTAGTGGGCTACATGTTGTAAGGGAATCCTCTGGGGAGATAATACCACTAACCCTCTCAGCATTTGTCATGAGAATTAAATGAGATACAATTCATGAAGTGCTTAGTACATGATATTATTTCATAAATGTTTATTGTTAACTTTAATGCTATGATGTTAATTGTTAATAATAATTTATTTCCCAAATATCAGGAAATCTCTATGTGGCCGAATGCTTCAGAATGCTTTCTTGCATGAAAAGACTGAACTGTATAATGATTTTTAACTCTTGTGTGTATTTCTTTATATACTGGTGATAAAATTAGGAAGAATTTTCTATGTAACACTAAGATAAGCAGTTTTCATTGATGCCTTCAACAGGTCCTTATTGAGTTGCTACTATGTGCCTGAATTGTTCTTTGCAAGAAGAAACAGAAAACAAGGAAGGAGGCTTGGATCATTACCTCATCCAGTTTACATTCTAATGAGGAAAGAAATAGACAAACTTAATAAAATGTATGTCACATATGGTACAGGACCAGTGGTTCTCAAAGAGTGGTTGTTAGGAATGCAAACCTTAGGTCCTACTCAAGTCTTAGCAAATCATATCAAGGAATGAGGCTGAGAATTCCTAGTTTTAAGGGATGCTTTGTAGTTCCTAAGAATTTGCATATTTAGCCCTACCTAAATCAGAAAGGTTTGAGTATAGAAAGATTTTCCTGAAGCAGTGGTTCTCAAAAGATGTCCCTGGGCCATCTGGATAGTCATCACCTGGAAACTTGCTAGAAATTTCTGGGGATCACACACCGGGGAAATTCTGCATTAGATGGTGATAAATGCTGTGGAGAAAACGAGTGCAAGGTAGGTGAGGATTTGTTGTGAGTAGACATACTAGTTTTTAAATAGGGTAGTCAGGATAGATCTGCCTGAGGTAGCAGTTGAGCAGCAGTGAAAGCGGGAGATACATGGAGAAAGAGCATTCCCAGCAGGATACCCCGGCTTTTGTAATTGAGTAAGATGAGGAGCTGTGAAAGGTTGTGAGCAGAAGAGCAGCCAGGTAACGGCTGACCTTCTAAAAGGACTGTGTGCGCGTCTGTGTTGAGAATACACCAAAGGGAGGGGTAAGGTGAAAGGTGAGAAGCCAGTTAAAAGATCAAGATCGTTGGGATAAACTTAGACCTCTGGTCACCATGGAGGTATAAAGATGTGATTGGTGTCTGATCGCAGTCCCCCCCCCCCTTGTTTTTTTTAAGTAAATCCGTAGGATTTCTGTGAACTGATGTGAAGTAGGAATATAAGAGGAATGAGGCTTGACTCCTGGTTTTTAGCTTGTAAGCCTGGAAGCTGATATTCAGATTAAAGTATAGTGTACCCAGGTTCTGGTGATCATCCTAAGTAAAACTGATGAGTGTTTGGGGGGAGGGTTGGAATAAGATAAAGTCCCACCTACAGTGATTGCCTCAGAACTTACCGAATCCCTGCTCAACTGGAGCTAGAAGCTCTAGGAACAGTTTCCATGGTTAGCATAACCAAGGAAATGTACTGCCTTGTATGTTATACCAAAAGACTCTAGTTACAAATCTTAAAAATTAAAATCCTGGGGTGTTCATAGAATTTACTTATATACAAACTTGTAGAAATCAGGATTTTGTGTCAATATTAAACCATTGCGTACTGTTACTCTATAGCAGCATTGTTAGAAATACCTTCATCTGTAAAAGAATAGTAACTGAAGCTGAGGGATTTTTGTGATCATGACTAGTATTTGAGTGCTTACTTTATACCTGACACTATTCTAAGTAGTTCGTGTATATTAATTTGTTTAATCTTGCCAGTGGTTCTAAGAGGTAGGCCTTATTATCTCTGTCATACAAATGAGGAAAGGGAGCTGCAAAGAGAAAAATGTACCTAAGAGAGCCCAACATTTCTAATATGAGACTCCCTATTTCAGATCATAGGAAGTATCACCCATGTAAGTAAATCATGTTCCATTATTATGAGTACAATGAGGTGTTGAAGTGAATTCCACATTATCAGATTCATTGAACAGTTCCTGTTACTAGCAGGAGGTGCAGCAACTGGGTTTTCCTGTTATCTTGGCAATATGTTCCAAATGACCATGGGTGAGACGGTGAGCACAGGGCATGAGCATATTGACTTCATCGTAATCATCAGTTATTTCCTCAATTAATCTTTGACCTGAAAGTCTGAGGCCAAGAGTCCCTGGCTCTTGAGATACCAAGTGTGGGGGACAGAGATAGCAATATTCCATGAATATAGCTTCATGAATAGGCCTCATAAAATGTCAACAGGCATTCGTTTGTGAGAAAATAATTATTGAGCATCTACCACCAAAGTTTAACACAATAATGCCTTTTTTAAAGATTGATTTTGCTGAGCAAAGTTAGAGAAGAGCTCACAAGAGAGGTTTGTCAGGCAGAGAAACAAGAAATTGGCAGAGAAAAACATGAGCAACACCATAGAGGAAGAAAATGCTGGAAATTAAGGGCACTCAAGTAATTGATTACTGCTTATACAGATGGTCTGTGGGAACAAGGAGTTGTAAATATGAGATCCCACAGGTGAGGGAGGTGTTGGGGACTGAATTGCACATTTCAGAATTCATGTATGGAAGTCCTAACCTCTGTTGTGACATATTTGGAGATTGACCTTCAGGGAGGCCCTTAAGGTTAAATGAAGTCATAAAGGTAGGCCCTTATTCTGTAGGACTGATATCCTTATAAGAACAGCAAGACACCTAGAGCTTGCTCTCTGTCATATATACAGGCCAAATGGGACACAGAGGGGCTCAAATACCCTCTTAACTGTATTGGTTTTCTGCTTTATCACTAATTCATGGAACTGTTCTGTCTCTATCCCTTAGCTATGTTACTTGTGTTGTGGTATGGGTGTGTTCAAGAGCCCCTTGAGAAAGAAGAAGGGATTTGGATTTGTCTATTGTACAGTGATTAGATACCTGTATATAGCACTTCCTGTAAAAAAAAAAAAGTTAATACCCCTGTAATATTAATACTTTGACAAAATTACTATTTATTGCTCCATTTGATGTATGCTTGACTTTATTTGCATATATTTCCTTCATTAAATGCTAAGATTCTTGATTTTTAAGGACCATTTATACATCTGTGAATCCCAGGTAATTCTCCTGAAACCTGGCATGTACTAAGTATCCCTAACTAGTGAGATTAATAGATGATTAGGTGCAAAATTATATTGAAACCAAATAAAAATCAGTTACATTAAGAAACGTGTGTTCTCGAGAATCGTGTGAGATAATTGCATCAAAAGTTCTAAAATTTGTCAGTCTGTTATCCAAAAAACCTTCATTCCACAATATCAGAATATTGGAGTATTAGAGAGTCCATGTCATCCAGAAAGTCTCAGTTTGTGATTCAAATGCATATTATTTTGCCTTTTAAAATAAATCATGAAGCACAGCAATAAGTCAGCTGTGATCAAAACACTAATATCCTAGTCATGACATACACGTTCTCTGTTGGCAGCTTACATGTTCTTGATCTATCTTCTCTAGCAGAGATTAATATAATCAAGCCCAATATTTACCAAAATTGTGTGGAATGAAAACTTTATGTATAAAACTATAAAAAACTATATAGATATAAAGTAAGGAAATTGTACCTGAAATATATTTTTTCACATGAATGAACAAATGAAGATTGTGATTATAGAGATTGAGATTTGACTACTTTGAGGAAATACATTGAGATTTGAACACTGGGGAAAGTCAGAGGTCCTGATTTTTTCTGCCTACGGAACCAAAACTGAAGAAAAGGTGTGAAGATTGTGCAACTGTGGGCACAGGGCGATGTAATGCAGTGTTCTGTTCTTAGTCTGAAAGCTGGGGGTCTTTTCCACTCATTGCCGCAATCTGGTCTGTCAGCGAAAGAAGCCTTGCCCTCCCAATCCTCTGGGCCATAGTTTTCCCACATTAACATGAGCATGCACTGATGGACTTCTAAGGTTTCTTGATGAGCTAAAAATTTTCAAGATTCGGAGTGATACTAAGGATTTGGGCAGAGAAGTTTTCAGATTAACCTGTGATCCTTGAATCATTCCTCATCTTAACCAGGCACATTATTTCATATTTCAGATGTTCAATCCGGACATCCGTCTTATTCAGCCCTCGACATCTCCTGTTAACATGCTATGCATACAATAAATAAGCCCTCTGAGCAAAGTTGAAATCAAAGTCCAGGACAGCAAAACCATTGCAGTTTCTTCACACTGGGATAACTGAGGCACAGTTCATTGGATGGTAGCATTGGAATTGCACCTTATAAACTGAACAGGACTCCAATAGAGAATGTGAGATGGGTAATTAAGATGAAAGAGAAGCGTAAGAGGGAATTTATACTGGTGGGAAAGCATACAACTTTTATCAGTTGCAGCAAAATCGCCATCTTAGTCCTGAGGAGAGCCGACCCAATAAAAGTAGTATAGTCACATGTCTCCACTTAGATAGGCAATACTCTGAATATGCTATTTTATTCATATAGCTGACAATTACAATAGTAATTGTCTTTTGCATATTTTAACGATAGAAATGTGTTGCTCATGGGTCTCGAGGGTGGGAAGTCCAAGGTCATCAGATTTAGTGCCTGGTGAGGACCTAGTCTCTGCCTCAGATGGTGCCTTTTGCTCATGCTCACAGGTGGAAAAGGGTAGACAAGCTCCTTAATAAAGACTTTAATTCTCATCATGACACCTGCACTCTCGCAATTTAATCACCTCCAAGCTCTTAATATTGTTGCATTGGGGGTTAGATTTCAACTGAGGAGTTTTGGGGGGACACAAACATTCAGACCATAGCATACCTGTAGCACAGTTTTCATAGTTAGATGTGAGTTCTTTGAGGATCATGCAGCATCTTATTCATTTTCATAGCTGTATTGTCCACTATATATCTTAACAAATATGAATATTAATCATTTGCAAATCGATGAATGAACTAAATGTATTTCTTATCAGGCATCCAGAAAGACAAAACACAGGACAACAAGTTGGGACAAATAAATTCAGGTCTAAATCCCTTCCCATATTTTTATTCTTTCTGAAACTAAACATGTAGATCTGAAGCTGAACCTGCCTGCATAAACTCCAGTCCTCTTAGTGGTCTTCATATGCTCTGCTCCATGACACTAAAGTCAAAGGCACAGGTGAGTTCACCATAGGGAAGGGACGGTTGTGGAGCAGACAGGGCTACCCTGGACTGGGAGGAGAGTGAGGGAGGAGGGGAAGGGAAGCAGGTTAGGAGGTGGAATATTCTACCCAGAGTCCTAAAGGATCAAAGCGAGGGTGCATCTCAAGCTCAACTTCCAGGGAAGGTTGCTTAAAGTCTTGCTGAAAGAATCGCTGCGATTTCCTTTTGCCCTTACCTTCTGTTCAGTAAATGTTTAGGAATGTCATCACAATGCTGTAGCATTTGTAAGGAAGTTGTTGGAAGGTTCACACACGGATCCCTAAAGAAAGTTTCCAAGGATGTTATCAGATAATCCG